ATCTATCTATCTATCTATCTTGTTGTCCTATTTATTCATGGTATTTTGTTTATGTACATAGAGAGCAATGTAAAACTGGAGTCAAATTCCTTGTATGTATACACACAGCCTACCTGGCCAATAAAAATGATTCTGATATTTCTTTGGACTGTTTTTGCCACCTCTCTCTATATATATAAAATTGTGGCCTTCATTTCCATTTTACTAAAGGGTACGGTGAAGTCAATTTGATTCATTTTTTAGGCTTCTCTTGCACATTTCTCACCTATTTCATTGTCTTTGATTTGTATACAGTACTGTTGACATCACCACTGCATACACACAGGAGAGTTGTTGCTATATTGTCAGCCATGACAAAGTTAAACAAAAACTAAAACAAACAAAGAAGCTGAAGAGGCCATTGCTGAGAAACATGTCTATTTTACAATGAGCTAATAACCTAGTGTGGCCTCTTTGCATGTGTGAGAGTGTTGGAGAAGGGTGACACAATTCAGTCTACACAAAAACCACAAGATCTATATATATATATATATGTACTCAGTGCATACTAAATGGACTAACACTGAAGTGTTTAATATTAAAGTAGTGTAGTGGCAATCAAACCACAAAAAAAGCCACTTGAGGGAATTCAAAGACATCTTCAACACGTAGCCTAGTGCTATGAAAAAATGAGGTCTGCCTGAAAATGTATTTAACACTTTATTCACTCATTTAAAAACACAAGCTTGTAATAAGAAAAGAAACAAACAACAAGATACAGACGAGCACTGACACCACACGCTACGGTTGAAAACCTGTGTGGCTTCCCCACCCCCGTCCACCTGTGACCTCCCCATCTAAGGTACATGACTGATTACCTCTTTGGGTCCTCAGGGGCACAAGTGATGCAACAAGAACACTATTTACACTTACCACACACACATATATAGGACACATCAAAATTGGCTACAACAAGTAGTATATGAGAATTCTTGTTTTGGGTATTTTCTCTTTAAAAGATTATGTGCTTATTCATATTTAGAAACTTCAAAGCTGCTCTATGTATGACATCTGTTGGTAGAAAGTTATCTACATCTCATCTAAGCCATTAAGCATAGGGACTGTCCTTTTTTCCCCCTCCCCTAGTTTCCCAGTGTAAGATAAGAGGTGGTGAGGACAGCAGCGGCACACAGCCTTGGGCTGAGAGGATGCTAGAAAGTGAATATTAGCGCTTGAATCCTCAGGGAAAGAAGCAAAGAAGTTTGAGAAAGGTCAGGGTAGTAGCAGTGGCTTCTTTGACCACTAGATGGGGCTATTGGTCTTTCATACCTCTTGTCATTTGTTTACAGCTGTTCATCAATTTATCAGATAAAACTGATGCAGAGAGTTTTTTTGGAATGGGGCAAAGCATTATTTTCATTCAGTTCTGTTACTGATTGTTATAGTTAACTGGTGTGGATACTGCAGCAATGGTTAATCTGGTGGAAGTAAGAGTAGAACCCCTTCCATCAAACCATATGTAAGCAATATAAAAAGCAAAACTCAAAATCCTGCATGGCAAGAATCATGAAGAAAGGTGTGCCCCAAAGCATATACCCAATCAGCTCAATTAGACACCACGATGAGCTGAAACCATGGTCAGTGTGATGTGGTGTTCATGTTTTTGACATATTGATCTGGCAGTTTTAGTGCCTCTGTGTTCACAGTATGTATATCCCACAATATGGAATGCACTGGCCCTGGAAACAAAAATACGGTATAGGTAGAGTGTGGACCGCAGGATCACTGTAAAAAATCTTTTATTTTTCAACATTTCATTTTCAGTAAACATTATTAGCCAATACATGTTTGGATAGCAGAATTTATTGATATCACATAGGCTTTGGTCACAGAGTGTGATATATGATATATGTGGCTACCTTAAAAAAGCGGCTACCGAATAATTTTATTAAAATTGTTGTACATGTTTGATGTTCAAAAGAAGTTTCCACTGTCCTTGAAGTAGAATAAGATTTTACCAGGGTGAAAAAGACACACTTTATTAGATGACGCCATTATTTTCACTAACCTTGTAAGTCTGGAGTGGCAACCTCCATGGAAGCCAACCCGCGGGGTTTATAGCCAAAAGCGGCTCATTCTTCGGTTAATAAAATATAACAATTCTCATTTTTATAACTTCTTTGTGATTACACACTATTGAAAACAATAGTTTTTATATTCAATTTAGATTGACACAGACACAGTCCCAGGCATCAAGATGGCTAACCTCAGAGGAAACATTGGATATATTCAGACATAGCCTCCATGTTTAAGCTTCAGACTCAGACTGTGTAATCAGCATCTTTTGTTTGTTTATGTTGGTTGTTAGCTTGTAACTGGCAGTGGCTGACACAGCTAACTGCTACAATGTTACAGTGTTTACATTGTTATTATGTAATTAGTTACATAGTGGAAGGAAGCTCCCGCATCCTGTTTACTTCCAAAAACAGCACACTCCCATGTTTGTTGTCAAACCGTCACTATACTATGCCCCTTGTATTGACTGGCCCTTTCAAAGGCGAAGGAGAAACTATGGTGGCCGAGAAAAACGCAGGCTACTTTAGAAAAATGGCGGTTCAACATGGTGGACTCCCTGCGACCTGTGGCGTCTGCAGATAAAAAAAGGCTCATTCTAAGGTAGCAAAACATTACGATTCTTACATTCAGGTGTATTATATTTTAGCCTATACACTGGTGATAGATGATACATAGTTATAGTAGTTATCTTCTATTTCTGCTGTAAATATTACACACTGCACACTGGGCTGCACAATTAATTGCAATATGGAAATCACAGAAAGCTGCCATTGTAAGGTAAAAGGTAAAGTGTGAGAAAAAAACAGACACCTGGTCTACAAATCTGGTTCTCCAGATTTAAGAAAACATGATAGTTTGTATGGACCGCAATCTAAAATTTGCACCAATCTTAAATCATATTGCATATTCATGTGAAAATATTTGCTATATGATGTTTTTACCATTAATTTTAATTAATATAATTTTTTTTCAGATGACTTCAATCTCATAAAAATGCTCATGAGGCAAGATTTTGCCAAGATTGTGGAAGTCGATATGGAGAGAAGGGATGTCCTGAAAACATTTTGCTTGCCCACAGTCGTCACCCAGATCCTTTTATACTGAATATCTCTTGATATACTTATTACATTATTGTTTACTCCTTCGACATAATAGAGCTGCACAGTGTACCCATAGCCTACAGTGCATAAATATGTGTGTACATTAAACTAGTGAAGCAGTGTAATGCTTGACGACTAAATATCTCTATTTAAAATATAACAAAAAATATCATGCATGAGCTGTCCCTGATAGTTTCCTGTAATATTTTGTATGGTGTCCTACAGTATCTTAAAGTATAGTATGGTTATTTGGCTAGGGTGGTTTAGACACAATTTAAACTTGTTTCTTGTGTCTTGTGCCTATAGAGCACAATGGGGCACTTTTGACAGTTGATGTAATGCAGCAAACAATGATTTGGAGATGGATAGAGGTTGATAATGCTAATACTGATCCATCAAAATATGCCTCGATTGGCCTTGATTACAATCTGGCGTATCCGATTCACACCATCTACACATACACATTGTGCAGGTCAGTGGTGGTTTCCAACTGGTCTAGTATCAGGGTTCACATATCTCCTTATTGAGGCACTCACAAAGTAGGCTAACTCAACACCCATTAAAATGTATTGATTGATATATACTACATTTTAGTACATTACCAAATAGAAGACACTGAGGTTTTTTGTCCTACTGTTTGGGAGCCTTGCTGGTTAGGCTCATGGTATTGTAAAGACTGTAGTACACCTAGTGCTTTTTGTTACTCTGTAGTGTTGTTTGTGTGCTGATGGAGGTTAATTGGATGGAGAAAGACTTGCAAACGCAAATTTGAAAACTTGATGAAAGCCATTACACTGTACTTTATGGATTTCTTTTCTCAGCTGTTCCCCACCGAGCATGACATACTCACCTGTGGTTAATACAGGTGCAGTATCAGAAGGAAGGTGATGCAGAGACAGACAAAGCCAAGCAGGAAGAGAAGGTGGAACAGGTAAGACTGAACAGTGAATGTAACCTAATACCTGTCATTTGATTAGTCGCTTTTTCGTAATTCATAAGTAACAGGAAAGGTTGTCAAAATAGAGATAAGAGTGAGAGACATACTGTCAAAACAGGCATCAGAGGCTCAGCTGGAGAAAGAGACGGTTCACCCAG